GGTGATATCATATTTATGCTAAGGAAATAACAGATGCTAGGCCTCTATCTGGTCCATGTGATAGAGAGCAGAGTGAAGTAACTACATAACTATGGACTATGTTTCTAAACTTAAAACTTCCAACTGAACCTACATTTGATTGAATCTGGTTGTGATGTGCAGAGCTGAAGTACAACCTTATCCCCAATTTTTGTTTGCTCTGTATTGTGACATTCTTGTAGGCTATATATTGCCACTGTTATTGTGTAATACTTTTTTTTTAGCTTTATCAGCATGTCACCTCAAGAGAATTTGCAATCTAAAATTTGATGCAAAAAGGAGAAAGGTAAAAAAGGGAAGAAATAAGAATTACTTCACTTGGATGTATTGAAGTTGCTTATAGGCCAAATATCAATAAACACCTCCCCTCCCCCAAACTGTTAGCATTTGGGGATATCAAAGCATCCTCACAAAATGGCTGTCAAAGTAGTAACAGATCTAGTCACATTTATACTATTGGCTACGTCAGGGGTGTCAAACTTGATTTCATTGAGGGCCGCATCAGGGTTGTGTTTGATCTCGGGGCCCCGGAATGAGTGTGGCAAGGGTGAGCATGGCCAGCTTCGTGTGACTCATGTCGGGTGCATCTGTGGTGGCCCAAACGCTCTGCCAGTGAAAATGGACACTCGCTGGCAGAGGCAGCGTGGGCCGATCCATCACAGTTTCCAGGATAACCCTGCGGGCCAGATCAAAGCAATCCCTGGGTCAGATGCAGCCCCTGGGCCTTGAGTTTGACACCCTGGACAAGGCAGTTCCATGCCTTTTTATTTTTACAAACCACCCTTGTTTCCACCACACCCATGTATTGCTTCATACTACTGCCGTTTGTTCTTCATACTTCTAACATATTTCTTTTTGAGGATCTCTTCAACTCTGTGCAGTCACAACATGGTTAGTCTTTCCTTTCCTCTTAACCAGGGCTGGATTTTCCTGTAGGCTAACTAGGCTTCAGCCTAGGGCCTCAAGATCAAGAGGGAGTGTCAAGATCAAGAGGGGCCTACATTCAAATTGTTAGCAAAATTAAAATTACACTTTCACTATAGGTGAAAGGGCCTCATAAGTGGAATAGCCTAGGGCCTCTTTTCATCTAAATCCGGCCCTGCTCTTAACCCATTCACTCTTACTTCATGTGTTGTGCGATATCATATTTCTTCCTTCTCTTACTCAAACATAGCAGACTTCATACAGATACTCATTTTTGTATTCAATCTACATTAATTTTATCCTACTCTTGCTTTATCATGCCCATTTCTAAATGCACCATTCCGATACACTGAACTTACTTTTAAGTTTCTCCTGATAAACCAAATTCTGACTTTCATAGAACAAAGTGAGCAAGGACATGCTCTTATAAACAGCCTTCTTAAACATTCATCCCTTACAACAAAACACAATGCTTTTTAGTATCACTTGCACTTCTTAATTTTTTTCATCCATCTTCAATAAGCATTTTACCAAGGTACAAATTCCCCATTTACTGGTGCCTATTGTTCACTCAGTTTCCCCATAAAAAAAAATCCTAGTCCTTCAATATGTTAATTTTCACAACCTCTTTGTCTACTTCTCTTTGCATCACACGTTCTTGGCAAATCATTTGATATTAGCAACTTATTTTCACATGCCAACCAATAGATTTCTTACATTATCACCATGATTCCTTATACATTTATTGTGCATGAATACATTAAAATAACCAAGAGTACATAGCAATTCCTCATTTCATTCCCTGCTTGGTGTTCAACTATTCATTAAGGATTCAATTAATTCTCACCATATTATACTCTTATCGCATTCTGCAACCAACTTTCAACTCAATACTTATGTAAAACATTCCATAATTCAAACCCACTCACACTATCATACACTTTCTCTGAATCAACAACTGTACAATAAATGTTCCCTTCACATTCATAAATTTTTAAGTTACTTTATAAAGAACAAAAATGATATCTGCATGCCTCCTGCCTGGCATAAAACCACACTGCAGTTCCTAACTTTTACTCAATGTCACTTTGCATACCCTTTCTATCAGAATATACTTTCCGAGATCCAGACAACAAATTAATCTCCCTTCAGTTTTTACATTCCTCTTTTCCTTTGAATAGTGGAACAATAATGGAATTCTTTCAATCATCAAACAGATTTAGTTTTCATACAAATGTTAAACCATTTATGTAGCTTCTCCACTAACAAACCACATCACTGTTTTAATATTTCCTCAACTCATGCCATCTATACCTACTGTTACCCTTCAGCACTCTTACAGCACAAAACAGAACTTTTTCTAAGCAGATACTCAGCAATTGTTATTTTCAAACATTCATTCATTGAAAGTTTTATAACAGAAAATAACCTACAACTGCTTCTAGGGAGCTGCAAAATCCCAGGCAAATCTGAAATTCTCAAGGATCCTGATGTTAAAATAGAACATTTTTTTTGAAAAAGTATGAGGCACACTTTTTCAGAGCACTCCTTTTAATTAGTAACTAGATTCTTGTTTTCATTGTTCATATAGAACCGTGATGCAAACCTATGGCACACGTGCCACAGGTGGCACGCGGAGCCATATCTGTGGGCATGCAAGCATTGCCCTAGCTCAGCTCCAGTGCGCATCTGCGCGCCAGCCAACTGATTTTTGGGGCTTCTGGGCCCACCGGAAGTCAGGAAATGAGCTGTTTCTGGCCTCCAGAGGGCTTCCAGGGGGGTGGGGGTGGGGAAGGCTGTTTTTAACCTCCCCAGGCTACTAGAAAGCCTCTGGAGGCTGGGGAGGACGAAAAACAGGCCTACCAGGCCCACCATGCCATCATGTGCCAAAAGCGGGGGTTCTGCGGGGGGTTACGTGCACATGCACGTGTGTTCTGTTTAGGTGGGGGCTTGGTTGTGCTCGGGTTAGTCTGAGTTGCAGGGGGATTTGAGCTGGTGAGCTGCATTGCTCGTTTGTCATTGAGCTGCCCTCATTGACAAACGAGTCCCTAACACAAAGAATGACACCAGACCCACACTCACGAAAACCACACAGAATGTCACCACCACACATCCACGCAAAAAGCAAACCCACACTGATAAGGCACGACCACAAAGCAAAAGCCAGACCACAGCTGCATCATTAGCCACTTTAAACCCCTCCAATCCATGCATGAAGCAAACTGACACCCACCATGAAGATGTGGCACGACCACGAATGCGAAGCCAAACAACAGCAACACAGCTCACCAGCTCAAATCCCCCTGCAACTCAGACTAACCCGAACACAACCAAGCCCCCACCTAAACAGAACACACCCCCATCCAATCAGAGCATAGCCAACCCCCCATCCAATCAGAGCACAGCCAAACCCCCAACCAATCAGAACACACCTCCATCCAATCGGAACACAGCCAAGCTCCCACCCAACGAATGAGACTTCGTCGAAATGTCACCAAGACACTTCCAATTTTATGCCGGAGAAAACCTGAATAATCAAAGACCTACATACAAACACCCGCGAAAAAACATATATATATATGTCAGAAATATATATATATATATTGTTTTCGGCTTCGTGCTTCTAGGAGCAATGTTCCTAGAAGCTCCAATGTTCTAGGAGCAACATTGCTCCTAGAAGCACGAAGCCGAAAACACCAGCCTGAAGATGACGAATGAGACTTCGTCGAAACGTCGCCAAGACACTTCTAATTTTACGCGGCAGAAAACCCGAATAACCAAAGACCTACATTTGTATGTATGTATGTATGTATGTATGTATGTATGTATGTATGTATGTATAATTCGTAATAGTGTTCAACTATTAGGTTGAAATAATAACCTGTACAATAAACTAAGACCATCACCTAAAAAGAATTATGTGAGTAACAGATTTTAATATGTTGCCTATGTATTAGCACTGTTTAGGATTTGAATGCAAAAATGTGATTTGGATTGTGCACTGGTGCATACAACCTGCAAGAAATCTCTCAAAGTTGCTGCCTTGAACAGCTCCTCAAAGATGATCATGAATGGGTGCCAAGGCTTAACAGAAAAGCAAGTGAGGAAGCCCCAGTTCCCCACAGGTTCCAATAAAAGAAGAATCAAACAAAATGACTAGTGTGCCAGATTGTTTGTAAAAAAAAAAAAAAGCTTATCATAAAATGACTTCACTGATTTGATCTTTTTCTTCCAACCAGCTTAAATAATTATTTATAATGTTTGTAAATATCAGAAGATCCTTTGCAGTAACTGAGAAAGTAGAGCATGTTATCAAGATTGGGAGACAGGAAAAATATCTCCAGAATTCAAATATTTAATATTCATTTTTTAAAAAACATTGTTAATAACTTTTTCAAATGTTTAAGCAATTAATAAGTAAAAATTGAATTGTTATAAGCAAAAACTGAAGTCTTAAGTATGACTTACAATTAACAAATAAAAATTATTTCATGTTTTCAGAATGGCAGCAGAAGTTCAGTACCCTCCAACATTGCCTTTTGAGGAATTACCTTTTTTTGTACACATTTTTCTGGATGCAGAAAATATTTTGGAATATAACACTTTTGGATATTTTTTCATTGGAAGTAAAAACTCTCTATTGAAATTACTATTCAAATGTTCTTAATTAATTCTGATTAATCACAAATTACATTCCAAAAACTATCTTTAAAAGTATCACATACTATAAAATCTATTGTGCAGTACACATTATTTTCTACTGATTAGACTTCACTCCTAATTGGTACTCCACATTTATAGTTTCCCAGAGAATTGCTTGTGTCACAGCTGTGGTATCCTTAATAAGTACCAGAAATTGTTATCATGAGATGCCCAAAGTTTCTCAAGGTGGCTATATAAATCTTTTTCATACATACATACATATATACATACATACACACATACATACATACATGTATACATTATTACACCAGTTTTCAACCATTAAATATTGGATTTTGTTACTAACTACATTAAACAATGTTCTTTCTACTTACCATGTAATTTTTTTTGCCACTTCACAGAAGATAGGGTGCAATATATTTGGGCTTTTTATTGCTTTTGTAGAAAGTGCTCTTTACCTTTTTTCAATGTTTGTACATAAGAAAAAAAACAAAAGCAAAAACAGTTTTCCAGGTGGGGAAAAATCACACTGTTGTTGTGGTTGATTTCCTCAGGATGGTCTTTTGGGGTTTTGGTGCAGTTGGTGGAGGCACAGTTGCAGGTCTGAGAGGGGGAAAGCTATTACTGGGACATATGCCTACTCCTCCATTTTCTAATGGGGGAGGAGGAAGTGGTGAAGGAGGGGGTGGCAAGGGAGGACACTGTTGAGGAGGTTTTCCTGGGATGTGAGCAGATTCATTGTGCAAATGAACCTCCCTGTTTTTAATATTATACCGCACGTCACAATCAGCACAATAGCCATGGTACTGCACCTTTTCATTAAATCGTACCCGTTCCCGTGTTCCAGCCTGAGGACATCTGTCTTTCTCAGTTCTGTGCATAAGAGGTTGCATCGGAACTTTGTCCAAATTATTATTTGATATACCATATGTATCTCCATTTGGAATTTTATTAGGTCCTCCTGGTAAGCCTCCATTTCGTAGCAGAGTCCCATTAGTCTTTACAGGATTGGCAGAGATAACTGGCCTGTGGGTGTCTTCACACTTCACTGGAGTCAGCCGTGGAGGAGGTGGTGGGGGATTAGGTTTCCTTAATACTGTTAGAATAGCAGATGGATGGGGCGGAGCCCTGATGAGTGGGGCACTGCCTTGAACCTTTATTTTTTCCAAACTTGATGCTGTTGTGCTACTTGAACTGCTATTCAACGTGTCTGTTTTTGAGCTGTCAGTCATCTCATCTTCCAGCTGCAGATCAGAAGTTAGTGTATCAATCTGGTCAACCACCTGCATGAAAATCAAATACAAATAATGGTAAGGATTTATGAGAATTAAAAACAGTAGAATTTGCAACCTTTTTATAGATATATTAAATATCTCAACAAAGATACTATACAAAGATGTATAGTAAGTACATCAACAAAGTGGCCATTTGATATAAATGTATAAATGTATTAAGGTCACAAAAAAATAGGAAAGAGTCTATCTCTTATGTTCCTTGATTTAAATGAGACACTTTCACATTTGGATTATAATATTAGAATGGTAACTACCAGAAAAAAATGGCATAACAGGAAGTTTAAGAGGATTTTAGAACAACCTGCAGTAAATGGAACATCAGAATTATTGCAGAAAATGTTTGAAGAATTACACAAAAAGTTGTCCAACTCACTTAGTACTAAATTGACAAGTTTTGAATAAAGAATGGATGAAAGACTTGTTAAAATGAAAAAGGAAATAGAGAAGTTAAAAATATAGAAAAACTGTAACAAACTGAATATAAGTGTAAAAAATTAATGACAAAGTAGTAATTTTGAAATGTAAAATGGAATTTATAGAGACATGGAAAAAAATTCAGATAATCTGGCATTGTTTAGGTTGAGAAATCAAATTCCATTTTAAATTGTATTTTATCCAATTCTATTTTAAATTGTTTTTATCAGATTTTAGTAATAATTTGTGTCTGGAACTCTGCACTTTGATATGGCCCAAGGGCTAATCAATAAAGTAAACTGGTAAATTGAGAAAGAAGATTTTTTTTCTTGAAATTCAGAACAATTCTAGAGGATTCTGGAGAAAAGGTAATTCAAGCTTTATCAGTTTTTTGGATTGGAATGAAAAGGCAGAAATCAATACAATTTATAGAATAAACACAAGATTTATGAAATTAAGAAATGTTCCAAGGGATGTTCTATACTTTTTTCAGAAAAACACAACCATATTCTGCAACAGAATTTTAACATAAGATTGAAATTTGATGATAAAGATATAATTGTGCTCAAAGAAATTTTAATTAGAATACTGTGTAAGAGAAAAGAGTACTTCTTTCTTACTGATAGACTTAAACAGAAAAAGATTCCATTTTGATGGAATAAACTGGAAGGAGCAATTTTTACTTTTAAACAGAAACTTAACTTAAAATATTTGGTTTTGATTGAATTTTTATGAAGAAATCAAGAGAATTTCCAGAAAAATTCAAAGAATACAAATAGATGTGACACATAAGTCCAAAGCCTCCAAAGATTTCCAACAGGAAAGTGAGGGGGATGATACTGAATTAAGTGCTACAGGAATTGAGTTTTAAAAAGATATATTAAGTTAGGATGAATTACAGTTGTTATTTGTGGGGATAATTTATGTGATAAACATGAATATTTTGTCTAGAATGATGTTTTTGTTTTAGACAGTACTTAGACAATTCTTGATAATTGTTGCACCATTTAAACAGTGGCAAAAAGGATTTATTTAAGTTTCTATGGTAAAAGAAGTTAAATACTGATCACTAAACAACCACTCAAAGTTATGACAGACCTGAAAAAAGGGGATTTATAACCCAGAATTAGAAATTCTGACAGTAAGATCCCCTCCATAGTCAAGGGACCAAACTTTGGGCACATGGCAACAAAGCTACGTTTACAGCATTTTGTGGTTACATGACAGCATTTTATGATGGTTTTGTTGAAAACCGGCACTTCTGACTTTTGACAAACCACGTCTATAACAAACCATTCATTTGCTTTACAATTACTTTAAAACTACCACATTTACTTAAAAACAAACACACAAAAAAGATTGTAAAACAGGTGAACCTCATTACAATATGCAACTATAAGGATAGACTCCATTATGGTTGTATGTTGAAGAGTTTAAAATTATCCCTCTACTCTATTTTAGAAGTCTGGTACTTGATAGTATGGTATATTGCATTTTAGCAGCAGTGAAACAAGAAATCCAATGGTTTGAAGATAAAATGATATAAGTGTTCTGTTAATGAGAAATTCCCAAATTCATGGAGCTCCAGCGTCTATCAGTTTCATAAAGAAGTGTTTGCAAGTCTTCCTGACACAGACTTGAGCCAAATATACATCACTTTAGCTGATCAACTGAGATTATAGAGGATAACTATGTGATATCCTCTAGAACTGGCAACAAAATCCCATGCATTTTTGTTGCTTAAATAAATAGTTAATAAATTACAGTTTTTTGAACACAAAGGAAATGTAAACTGATTCCATTCTCAGCATTTCCCAGCATATTAAAAGGCACGTACTCCATTTGTGTCATAATTTTTCTATAGGTTTTATCGATCATTTTTTATATATATAATATATAACATATTTTTTGCACTATAAGACTCAGTGGACCATAAGACGCACCTAGGTTTAGAGGAGGAAAACAAGAAAAAAAAATCAGGTGGAGCCTAAGAGGACCACAGATAGGTGTCCTATCATGTGCCAGCTCTGCTACTGACTCCAGCACTGCGGAAAAGAGACACAAGGGGCAGGCAACGACAAAGACAAAAGAGGCGGGGTTCAGCACTGTAAAAGGATTCCACCACCACGGTCTGGCTGCTATCACCAAAGGACCAGCACCCTTTCGACCCACTTTTTTTGGGGGAAGTGCGTCTTATGGAGTGAAAAATATGGTAGTTTATAAACAACTATTTATAATCTACATATTTTCATAAAATTATATGGGCCTCAAGTCAGAATTTATTTAATTCTTTTGTCTTGCATGTCAGGCTCTATTTATTGCTTCTCAATTAAAACCACATATCTTTTTTAAAATTATTGAATATATTTTGGTATAATTAATTTTATTGTAATAATCAGTACATACTGCATTTATCTTACAACTACTGTGCCCTAAGATCATTTATGTTGCTTAAAACTGTTTGAAAATTCCAATCTTTTCAGATTAATCTCATGAAAATTGCATTCAACAAAACATCAATTCATAAGTGTGCTTTTGGATTCAAATTCTAAACTCAAAGACAAACAATAACCTAAAAAACAAGCTTTGTAAATTGGGTCTCCACCATTAGTGATCTGCCAAGCCAACCAAGTCAATTATTTTAGCCAGCCAAGTTTTTGACAAATCATTTTTGCAATGTCATATAGCAGAAAAACAGCAACACTAACATTAATTGACCCAACATGTCCTTAAATCATTAACTGGCAATGGTGCTGCAATCATTATATATAAGTCCTTTGAATTTAGTTCAAAATAGAAAACTACATTTTCAAAAGATCATTCCAAGTGCCACTAGCAATTTTAATATGAGCAGAAGGTTATCATCCTATCGTTTCAGCTTAGTTTTGTACTAAATCAAATCTTGCCTGGTGTCATTTACTGGAAGGAATCTTTCCAAGGTCTACTAATGACATATGATGTGGATAAGTCATACATAAAATAAACACATAAGAAGTATTGTATATCACTAACTTGGTATGGTCCATATTAGATGTATTCAATGTGTTAGTTTCTTTTCCAAAATTCCAAGACAGAATGACCAAATCTGGGAATTAAGAGCCAGAGTCCAACAAGTGCTAATTGGAAATTTGGGGAGCTGTAATCAAACAAACATTCAAGACATAGATTGGGAAAGGCTGGTCTGCACTAAGGTAGCTATTTTCCAGTATATAGTAGTGCCCAAAATTGTGGAAACCTTTTGGGGAAAGTGTATTTTCTAAAACTAGCTAATGACACTTTTTTGGGGGGGGAGTAGTACCATAAAATTATATATCAATGGAAAGATAATTTAATCAAGAATGTAATGCAATAACTTTTATGAAGGATTTGCTATTAGAATAGCAATTACAGTATAAAGAAGAAAAGTGAAACACGTAGAAAAAACGAGATATACAAAAATTATCACGTTAGTTAATACTTAAGTTGGATAACCTTTAGCATGAATTACTAATTATGAATTATGCAGCTTCCATGCAGTGAACCAAGTCTTTTAGTTCTTCATCTGTTATAATGTGAAACCAAGATTGAATGATTGCTCCTATTAACTGGGTTTTATTCTGGGCCGCTTCTGACTAACAAGTTTCTTTAGTCAGCTCCATAGATTTTCAATTGGGTTAAGGTCTGGGTTGTTCCCAGGCCATTCCAGCAGTGGAATATGATTATCTTGAAACTCCCCCCAAAAAGTGGTGCTATTAGCCATCAACCTCAAAAATACATTTTTCCCAAAAGATTTCCACAATTTTGGCCACTACTGTAAGCATCACGTTTACCAGGAAATACGAATCCTTTTAGATCTAATGTAGAAATAAATTAGATATAGATATAGTTATGGAGTTTTTTTTATAACTATGCATAAATGCCTATTTGATTTGTAATATATTTCCTATGCAACAATGCAAATGTTTATTTAATAATCTTATATTATTTTAAGTAACAATTATCAGTTTTTTTTCCAAAATATCCATTTAACTTAACAATAGTTCTTAAATAAAGAATTGTTAAATAGGAATATTTTTGCTGTATTTCCACTGTATTTCATCTTATGCTAAAGTACAACAGATTCGGTAAAGTACTTTGGCCATTTCTGTCTTGCATGTCCTTACATGTATCTTATTATAACCTTGTAAGCAAATGATTTAAGTGAATTGTGTTTTATCTTTGGAAAAGTGATTGGAGAAGTCAGTGTTCTGCCTTTGCAATACTATCTAATTAATCTGGGTGAAAAGGTTATATGAGTTTGAAACTGAGACAATAAATATATGCCGTTAAAGTGAAAATTTAAGTTGCAAAAAATAAAGAAGAGTAAAAACGTTGTCGCCTTAGATATGACAGGTGGTTTTTAATTTATAATCAGAAGACAGTGTCTTCCAAGAGTATCCTTTATTCATTAAAGTATTAATTTGAAAAATAAAAGTACAATTATAAATATTATTTGACATTCTAGATCTATCTATTCTGAGATAATCAAAACTATGTGCCTCCAAGCATAAGATGTTGGAAGTTTAGGAAAATCAACTGGATCACACTCTAATTCT